GGACTGATCGTGTATGACCATATCTATTTTACTATAAAAATGGTGTACTTCTTCTTTTTTATAGCGCGATAGTCAGAAAATATTTTTATTTTACAAAAAGGTAAATAATATTGGAGGGCGGGCGAATTCGATTTATTGAAATACAGTATAATACATAATTATTTTATGACTCAGCGACATAATAAAGTATGTTAAAATATGTTTTAGCAAAAAAGAAAGTTGATAGTATTTTTTACGTCAAAAAACCCTTCAATACAAATTTTGAGATAATCAAAAAATATTTTTTCTCTCAATTTTTTTGCCTTTCAAATCCTCCGATTTTTTTTTAAATCACAAAAATGATTATGAGTTCGAACCTCAAGCGATCTTTAGGAAACTTTATTTGGGTTTAGGACCCTAAAACCTACATGTAATGGCACAAACCTGACCTAGGTAAATAAATCAAAACCCGAGATCATAAAATAAAAAATTGCTGATATAAGCTCAAAGAAGAGAAAATCAGCTTTCCAAAGGTAATATCATGGGTATTAGATAAAATCCAGAGAGAAGTTTTAAATAGGATACCGGTTATTGGAGAATAAAAAGAAAATAACCTGATTGGATCGTTTAAAATGAATCCAAAATTTTCATTTTTTTTAACCTAGGTGTACATCTTTAATACGATCCTTCAAGTTATTTTCTTATCCTAGAAAAAAAAATCGATTAATAATCAATGCACATATCTTGAAATATATGCACAACAAAGGCAGAAAACCAAATTTAAAAAGGCACTGGCAAGAAAACTTGGACACGTGTCTAATATTTTCCACCCTAGTATCACCAAAAAATGTTTCATTTAAATCTAACGCCGTAGCCTCTCCTGGACTAAGTAAATCGCTTAGTTTTTATGGTTAAAAATGATATCGCCAAAAACAGAAAATCCCTCATGTCTGTTTCTTACATATAATTTTTTTCTAATTTTCACATTTATATGCAAAAAATTCCAATTTAAAAAATAAACTGATACCTTTTTGATGCCGAATTACGATAGTTGAGGCAATATATAAACTATCTTTATAGTTAGTTAATCTGGAGCCAGGGAATATAAATGGTTAAAATCGGAAAATTTTGTTATTATCGATTTTTACGTTTCACTTATTTTTTAATTGCTTTAATCAATCAATAGGTTCCTTGTAAGCAAACCTTCAAATATTTTGTCATACCGTCGGTCTTGTGCGTAGTCTCGGGGCACGGCACGGTACCTCAGGGCAGTAGGGATTTTTAATGTATATAGTGTGTGTTTGTGTTGTGTTGACAGCCAATTGGTGGGGTAAATATTAAAGCCCTGGAGCTGTGAGAGATGAGGAAATGGTGGGATGGCGTCCCTCGGAAGGTCAAAAAATTAAGCAAAAAAAAAATCGGTCTATGTATTCCGCCTGTCGCAGGTTTCTCATTCGATATGTACCATTGGAACTAAATTCAAGGTAGAAAATGACCCAAGGAAATTCCTTTATACAGGGTGTCCATTTTATATGGCCCGGTTGAATTTCTAATTTGATAGTGGTGGTATTGCGCGTCGTGCAGTCGAGTTGTATTCCCAGAAATTTCTTGATCGTCCCAGAGTACATCAAAAAACGTTTATTCGTATTGCTCGCAATATGAGGAGATATGGATCAGTTGCTGTTCCATCACCAAGAAACGAAAAAGAAAATATTTCAATATTTTCAAAAAATAAAATTAGAGATGTACTCCGGACTTACAATTTTAAGCCGTATGACTCTCATCTTGTCCAGGGACTTCGGGATTCTGATCTCGTCTAACGTTCCTTGTACAAATGTCAATTTGGGAGCCAGAAGAAAACGTTCTTCCATACATCCTATGGACTGATGAATCCAGCTTCATCTCTACTGGCATACTAAGACTAACCGCTGGACTTTTCAAACGTGGACGGAGGAAAATCCGAGAATTTCGTACTCTTGCCATCATCAAGTGGTACAAATCATATTGTTGCGGACTTATCGGAAATAAAATAATTAGGCCTCATTTCTGCGAAAATAATTTAAATGATGCTCAGTTCCTCAATTTTTTGAGGGAGGTTTTACCAACGCTATTAGAATATGTTCCTCTGCAACAACGACAAAGAATGATTCTCTAGCTTGATGCCCCACAATTCTTTGAAAGTGAGACGTCATTTGAATCGTCACTTCCGGGATAGGTGGATAGGACCTCATGACCCGATCGGTTCGCATCCTCGGTCATCCGATTCAACTCCACTTGACTATTTTCTGTGGGATCATTTTAAAACACTGCCTACGCCAATTATAACCAGCAACCTCAGATGCACAACTGCGTCAAAGGATAGAAAATGCTTGTCAATCCATTTCCCCGACTCTATCACCCTGAGCACCGGCGAAGAGCGGGTAAAAAGAGCAAATCTTTGCATCTTTACGCAAGGGGCACTTCGAACATGAAATGTGATTAACACATACCATACCAAATTACTTTTTTTCAAACTATTTCCCATAACTTTGGCATTATTTGACAAATTTAAAATCTAATTGCACCATTGTTTTCAGCGTTCAGGATGTATAGGGTTATATTTGAATTTTGAAGTTGAACTAGGTACCCTCTATAATTTTTCTCGGTAAAAATTTAAAACTTGACTAAAAAATATTCAACACGTATTTTTTGGTTTTTTATAGCGTCATTGATTCAAGAGAAATTCAGCCGGGCCAATCTAAAAAGGTCACCCTATATTTAATATAAAATAAAAATAAGACAAAGAACTAAGACTATAAAACTACTGAATAATGTATAAACTGTAGGCCAAAACAGGATGCTTCTATTTCAACATAATCTTTCCTCTTGTTAAATTAAAATGTAATAATTACGGAAAAGGCTTGGTGACTAATGCTTACTTTTGCTTATGTCTCTACTATTTGTTAAGCTATAAAAATTCGTTTCTCCGTTATACTTATGTGTACGTGCTCCTATACTGTGTAAAATCGGTGGGTCTGTCACTGTACATAATCCCACAACATATACACGTGAATTACGGCCTAAGCACCCTACATATTATAAAATTCAGCAAAACTTTGTTACAATAAAGTATATACTGTAATAAAAAAAATAATTATGTTTAATTATACTTTCTGTTTTTCCTCTTTTTTTTTTTATTCAATACCTTCATGAGCATATGCAAATATATGTACACTGCGTGGTAACAGTGACCATTGACCACCAAAATCATATTTAAGTAAAGTTTTTTTTTTCTTTCTGTTAGATAAAAACCGCCCAGTAGTATTCAATATTTCAATAGTAGTCAGGAGTTGACTATTTTGAAGGATTTGTTTATCGGCCTGGGGAGCTGTGAGGAGTGACAACCCATGGTAATTAAGTTTCTTTGTAAAGTAATTATCGTATATTGTAAGTTGGTCACAGCCGGTCGGCGGCAATTATCTTCGATAATATGGTGACAATGGTTTTTAGGAATATACCGAAAAGAAATTTTTTGTACTGCCAATTAGTGCCCCAGTGGGGCTTTTCTTTTCTAGAACGATAAGTAAATTATTTTGCACCTTTTGAGTTCTAAGGGGATTTGAAATTTGCCACAGTTTTTTAAGGTTGCTTAAAAGAAATTCCAAACAAAGTAAAAAGTAGAGATGAGATGATGTATCGACCTGCTTGTTGAACAACTTGAACAAAAGGATCTTCAGTGAGATCACAACAGAAACGACAATTCTTTAAGTTTTTGCCGAGCTTTCGACGATTATTTCGTCATCATCAGGGCCTATTTATTTTAGGAAAATATCGCAGTTAGAACATGTTATATCATTGTAATTTTTTTTTTTTTTTAATATAACGTTCTAACTGCGATATTTTCCAAAAATAAATAGGCCCCGATGATGACGATATAATCGTCGGAAGCTCGATAAAAACATAAAGAATTGTTTCTGTTGTGACCTCACTAAAGATCCTTTTGTTCAAGAAAGTAAAAAGTATTTATAAAAAATAAGGCTCTAAGGTGAAAATAGATGGAGTTACCCTCTGACACCCTGATGATTAAACCATTGGGAACTTAAATCATTTCAACCTGTATCTTTATTAAAGAAATTTAGAAGGGAAGAACCATTGTGTTTAACCAACCAACATAGGGGGTGTCCCTGTTCCTCCGGACGAAACTCAGGGAATCGATTCTACTCTTCGTTTGGAGCAAAACATGCCCAGGAGAAAATTTTCGGAAAGTTCTCTATTTTGAAGATATTCGTCAATTTAGGTTTTTTCAACTTTTCACTACCTTACCACATAAAAACGCTTACAACTTCCAAAATGTTGAGACTACAACAAATCCAATTACACCATTTGAAAAAACGCTAAATTTGCTGAAAGATACTTCTATTTACAAAATTTAAAATAAATAAATAATAAATGTTATTTTACAAAACGTGCAATCATGACCAAAATTTTAAATTTTGTAATTTTGACATGTTCCAACTGATATTGGCTAACATTTTATGTCATTCAGATTATTGCAAATAGAAGTATCTTACAGCAAATGTAGCGTTCTGTCAAATGGTGTAATTGGATTTGTTGTAGTCTCAACATTTTGGAAGTTGTAAGCCTTTTTTATGTGGTAAGGTAGTGAAAAGTTGAAAAAACCTAAATTGACGAATATCTTCAAAATAGAGAACTTTCCGAAAATTTTCTCCTGGGCGTTTTTTGCTCCAAACGAAGAGTAGAATCGATTCCCTGAGTTTCGTCAAAAGGAACTGGGACCCCTGTATATCAAATTTAAGCGGGTTTTTGAAAAAAAAATCATATTTTTATATGTGTTTAGTTGAACTAAATAAAAATTATCTACGTTATAAGTTAATAATCAGCCTTCTAAAATGTATATTAAAAGACTATCAGGGATGAGAACATCGACTGAAAGCGACAGAGGGTGGAATCTTTATGAAATCCTCCGGAGGATCGTCAAATAGACTTCGCCTATTTGGCTAAGGAAAAAATTCAATATTTACTTGCTTGTCGTTGTTATATTGAGAAGTTCTGTAGGTGTGGTCGGCACTTTCCGCACTGTCATTTTCCTTCCGTCGGTGGAGCCCATGCCGATGGACCCCAAGCTTATGACGTCCTGCCGATCGGGTGACCAGTTATTGTTATTGGGCGGTTTGTGCATTTCGACTGCGCCTCCTAACGCGATCCTGACTCTGGCGTCAGGGTGGGCCCCCGGGAGGATGATCACCCTCTGGGACATCCTCGCCGTCCTCAGGGACCTCGGAGTAGAGAAGGGACTCCTCGGGGCAACAGGTTCTTCCATTCCGACGGTTCACATTACACTGATTGCCCATCCGGAGAGACTGATAGCTCTCGCCCCACTTGCCTTCCGTTCCCCACTCCGAAACCACTTAGCACCTGATATCCACTATTTGGATATTTAAATTTTAGATGGTGGTTTTTTTTACACAATTGACATTGAACACTTAGTGTCAATCGACTGTCGAAAATTATTGATCTTAAACTCTTTTTTCTTTCTATCTTTCTAGTTATCTATTGCATTTATATCCATCTCTCTATATCTCATCTATCTATTTTTTCATAGATTGATGACTTCTTCAATGTTCGCTTTCTTTCTCCCTCTCGCTCAACTTCTCTCACATCTATCGAACTACCTATTTATTATGCACGTAGCACATACTCACAAACACACCCACACATATGCAAATACACTGAAGTACACAAAAAGTATAAAAAATATTGTAATACACAAACTGAATGGTTAGTTGGACGTTGAGACACTACTCTATCTCAGTAATTAGAAAAAAAAAACTTGTACACCCACATACGCAATATTGAATAATTTAAAAATGTTTATTCAAAACCCTGAGGGCTTGTAAATACCATTCGGGGCTTATGATCGGATTAAGCGATGACATTTGTCGGATTAAACAATAGTAACTATCATAAGTATTTAAGGGCTAGAAATTTGTAAAGGCTCAGATCAGGGTCTCAAGGCTCCTTTGTTGCTTTTAATTGAAACACGCAGTACATAACAACAGCTTTGTCTCAAAAAAAAAAAAAAAACCTGAACGGCTCTCTTATTTTAGTAGTGGCTCTAAGGCATAGCTGCATAGATTTGTCAACCTTTATACGCTGCCTTATTTTTAGGTAGTTTCTTTTTGTTGAGCATTCCTCTAGCAAATTAATGAGCCATAGGACATCTTAGGTCTTATCAATGCCGTTTATCGACTTCGCTCTTGATTTGTAGGACTTCTCTGACCCAATTCAGCCTAACGACGCTTTAATCCTATTTTTCACAGGATTTTTGGTCTGCAGGGAAACGAAAAGACCGATGAGGCAGCTATGGACGGGACGTCCCAACCTCGGTCAATCAAAGCAGCTAGTACAGGCGAACGAAAATGATCGGAAACGACCGAAACTACTCTGAGGTAACCTCTCAGACTCGATCAGGAAATCTCACAATCAAACAAATAAGTCAAATATCAGTGAATTTGTAAAATTTAGGAGAATTCGGCTTTTTATGACAATATATAATTTGATCATTATAAAATAATAACACAAACAGGTTTTAGCGTTAAAAAAATAGTAAATTTATCAGCCTTGTAGCCGTATCTATCAGCTATATAGAGATTATCGTATTTTTTAATGATTTAATTAGAAAATTAAGAGTGATTCTAATTAGTTCATTTAAAAATGACTAAAAGATGTTCATAGTCTTTAACATGTTTTGACAAGATGGGTCAAGGTTGTTCAAGTTAAATGTCACTTCAATCTCGCAAAGTAGTGCCGGGGGGACTGGCAGAAAGTGAAATGTCATGCTCTGAACGGACGTCGTCGACTTCCTCCCACATTCCAGCCGACATTGAAACCATGTTAAAAACATTAAAAAAACTGTTTTAATTATAATTAATCCACTTTTACAAAGATCCGCCTGGTTTTAAAATAAGCGAGAGAACGGCCAGCCGAACGGGAGCTCCTGACGACGCTTGGGCTCCTGGTACTCAGAGGAACTCTACTAGTCCGTGCACAATGGGCCCGAGGGATGGCGGCCGACCCTCTTCGCCCGAGGAGATGGCGTCGTGCTCCATGAAGCGGGCGTTCAATTTCAAACTGATAAGAAACAAAAACAACTGCAGGTGTCCAATTTTGGTCGATTTGGGGGAATGGACGGAGGAGATTAGCCGGATTTGCCGGACACGGGTCAGGCCCAACCCCTTTAGTCCTAGTCGGTACCACTAGAGTGCTCCGATCCTACCCCATGCCGGTTTTTGGACACGGGTTCGACTCAGATCTACTTGAAAATTTTTCCCGTAGGCTAAATTTCAATTAACCTGAATTTTTTACTTTTGCATATGTTTTTTGCCCGATATCTCAATATTTTTATATGCTATGATAAAAACAAATAGAAAATGTTATCTCGCACTTTTTTCCGTCAAAGTATCCATTTTTCCCGGCAAAATAACCCCTTTTGATTTGTAATTGATATTTTTTATTTTCATCAAATTAACTCTTTTTAATTTAAAAATGAAACTTTTTACATTTGTGTTAATTCTTTTTCACATCAAATCAATATTTTTTTATTTCAAATTAGCCCTTTTTAATTGCAAATTAACCCCTTGCAACATATAATTCTTTTTAAATCAAGATTTTCTGTAATTATAAAATAATTGAACTCATAGAAGAGGTGAGAATTAATTAAAACTTAAAATTCTTCTTTCAATTTAGGTTTTTTTAAAATATACATACTATATGAATCTGAATTTAAAAAATTTAATTTAAAAATATTAAAAAATAAAAATTATACAGAATAATATATAAAAATAAAGGGTTATTCTATTAATTTAATTTGGCTCTCAAATATTAAAAGAAAATTTAAAATTATATACAATAAATTATGAAAATATTGGATTTTTCTTTTAGTTTAATTGGGCTTTTAAATATTGTATGAAGTTTAATTGCGATTAAAATTTAAAATTATGTAATATTGGAAAATATTGGATTATTCTTATAGTTTAATCGGGCTCTCAAATACCATATGAAACTTAATTACAATAAAAACTAAAAATTATATAAAATAAAACATAAAAATAATGGATTATTCTTTTAATTTAATTAGGCTCTCAAATATTATATGAAAATTAATTGCAATTAAAATTTAAAATATTGGATTATTCTTTTAGTTTAATTAATTTGTAGTCTTAAAAATAAAATAATTAGGCTCTTATAGAAAAGGCCAAATGAAAATTAATTCTAATTGAAATTACAAATTATGAAAAATTAAATATATGTATTAACATAAATAATTATCCGTTTATATAATGGTTAAAAAATTGCTTAAGCTGAAATATACATGTTTGTGTTTGTTTGTGTGTGTGTATGTATTTATTTTTTTTCATCGACGGCACATTGTCCACATTTTATTGATAACTTCCTGAGATTTTTAAATTTTCATTGTGACGTCCAGTCGCGAGGTTTTCGTCTTTTGATCGACAAATTCCCTCGGAGTTTTTTGTTAAATTTAATTTCGACTGGTTAATAGATTAAAGATTATAATTTATATAAAAGATATAAAAATTATAATTTAATCTTAACTAAATGATTATCTAAAGGCTAGTATTTCCAGCGAATAAGGATCGAGGTCGAACAAGTTCGACGTTACTCAAGATTTAATTTATATTCACTGGTGCAAAGATTCCTTGATTTTGAGGCTATTTTTTATATTTGGTCATAATCTGACGGAATCGACACACAATAATGGAAGGCAGGGTGGTCCCAACTTTCTGGCCAGAATTTGTGAAAATCGGCACCTACACGCACTCGTCAGACTTGACCGTTGGATTAAACTATCATGACAAACGACTTTTATACAATAACGAAACAAAACCAATATCGGACTAGAACTGTGGGGTTGAATTGAACGCTCCAATATCTGTAGAATCCAGACCCAACAATCCAAGAGCCTCAAAATTGTATAAAAGACTACTAGCCAAACTACTTACTTCACTGTAGCCTTAGATATAAAATGCTGAATAGACTACTTGACAAAAGGTCTAAACTGACATAAACTAATAAAAAACTATTATATAGTACACTTATTTGGACCTAGAGGACTTGAACTATAGGGTCAGCCAAAGCGTTCCAATTTTAACAAAATCCAATCCCTACAATCCAAAATCCTTCGCACAATTGTTCACTAGCTCCATTCTACGTCACCAATCATACTATCCACTCCGATCTCAGCATACCCTATGGTCCAAACGTGGCCCAGTCCCGCTCCAATAAATTTCACTCAAATTATTACCTCATAACATCCCGTTAATTCGCAACCTGTACAGCTCAACCCTTCCTTTCAAGTCTCATAGAAGACTTATAGCAGGCGGCGATTATTTGATTTTCTAACTTCGGCAACTCTAGGGACTGCTGACTTCACGCCGTAATGGCCAATTACAGCCATTTTCAATGGATGGTGGCAGTTCAAATCAACCAGGACAGGCATGTAAATGTGCATACAATATTGTATATGTACATCATTGTAAATAACATAATTTTTGCTTGTTGCATTTTGTTTGGAGTAGTAAAATAAATATAAGTTATCCCTGTCTAGAGTGTAAAGTTTGTAGTTTTTTCTTTCTTAATTGTATTATTTCGATCTCCTTTTTGTAACCATCTTTTTACGATATTTTAAATAAAGCACTTTCTAATTCTCCTTATGTATTCTGTTCTGTAAAAAAATCGTGTAGCTAAATTGTTAATTTAAACCAAGTTTTGAAAGATATTCTTTGAGTAGTTGAGAGCGAACTCGAAACCTAAGCATGGCCTTATTAAAAAAATATCCCTGCCGGGAGTGTAAAGTTTGTAGTCCTTTTTCTTTCTTAATTGTATTATTTTAATCTCATTTTTATAACAATCTTTTTACGATATTGTAAATAAAACACTTTCTAATTCTATTTATGTATTCTGTTCTGTAAAAAAAATCTAGTAGCTAAATTGTTAATTTAAACCAAGTTTTGATAGAGATTCTTTGAGTAGTTCGAGAGCGAACATGGCCTTATTAAAAAAAATATATCCCTGCCTAGAGTGTAAATTTTTTTTTGTCCTTTTCCTTTCTTAATTATATTATTTTAATCTCCTTCTTGTAACCATCTTTTTACGATATTGTAAATAAAGCACTTTCTAATTCTCATTTCACATATCACACGCTTTCCTTACGTACAAATATATATTTTAATTAAAGAATGTTTCTAACGATATATCATGCGGCACATAGAACTTTAGTAAAGTTGTTATTTATAATTTAAATTGATAAATATTGTGATATCAGAGTCTGAAGTTCG